ACCAATCGTTTTAATACTTCATCGTGTTGAATACTAACATCATAAATAGCTAATCCATAGTCATTAAACATTTGCCAAGTGGTTTCAAAAATAAATCTATAGCCTTTAATGTATTTATCTCTGCATCACTTATACTCATTTTTGTTCATAAATAATCCTTATACATAAATTCCTTAAATTGGTCCCACAAATTTTTTAGATCATCAGGACTACAAAAATGCTAAACTAGTTACAAACAAACGGCGTAACGAACTTGGCATTTGATAATTGTAAGCTTCTTGCAAACATAGCTTACAATTATTATCCCCTCTAAGTAAACCTCGTAATAGTGCAGTCTCACGAAAAGTCTTAACAGAAATAACATTCACAAATTTAAGATTTTCAAAAGATAGTGGTACATAATTTAACAATATTCGTAAGTAATATCTTTCTCCTTCTCTAGGACCTGCTGCTACAATCCTTCCAACCACAACACCTTTTTTTTTCCTAATATGCCAACACTTACATTGTGCATGCCATACAAAATATTCAGGGAATTCTCTATAAAACAATTTTCTTGCTTCATGATTAGTAACATTCATTGTAAAAAATTCGGTAAGCATAGCTTTTTGGAAGAAATCTCGTTGAATAACTTTTGCAAGATTATCAGTATATTTATATGTAACTAATTGTTTATTTTCTAGATGTAAATATAATGAAATAACAACTGAACTCATTTCATACATAATAAATCCATAGATCCTCCATGTTGCTTGAAGGGGAGAAATTCATCTACCAGAGTGAAATCTTTGTATTTCATCTATACTGTCAAGCTTACCGTCATCGCTCAAAGAAAAATTAACATTGTCATATCCTTTGTAAATATATTTGTAAAAGTATTTAACAGCTTTTATTGTTGAACATATTTCTACGTTCATATGACAGTCATATTTGGCTAATAAATAAGAATTGTAAGGTACAACCCATCAATTATTAAGAAAATGTTTTCTAACTTTCACTTTCTTACCATCATTTCGCCTTCTATATTTTGGATAAGGAGCTTCATTAAAAGAAGTACGTGTACTGTATTTATGCAAATAATGACTTCTACATGTTTTATCACTTTCCATACGTACGTTATTTGGGTTTAAAAAACCGCACGGACCATGCATCATGTGTCGATAACAATGGAGTGTAAATAAGGATACTTTGCACTATCAGGAATTTCAGTACTCACAATTTCATCCACCATTTCAGGGAAAATAATTTTTGAGCCTGATTTCAATATAATTAGGAAGTGAGCATGTGGTAAACCTCTTTTTTGGAAATCTATAATATATATGTATGCAGCTACTGGTCCAAATAGATGTTCTTTGAATAAATCCATTTTCAACTCTTCCAATTTCGCTCTAAAGATGTGAGAGACCAAATCGGGTCAATCTTAAACTTCATCACAAAATTTTAATTCTTGCTTAATTTCAAGCCAGTTGGAATTACATGTAATTGTTAAAAAGATGTCAGGCTTTTCAAATTTTTGAACTAATGTCATTGCATCCATGTATCTTTTATTCAAATCCCTAGGACCACCTACGAATGATGATGGCAAAATAATCCTTCGACCTACACTGGAACCTCTGGTTTTACCATTTTGTACACTGTCAACAATTCCTTGGTAAAGCTCACTACGTATTTCTGTTTGATTATTACGAAAGTAATTTAATTTAGAAGATTCAACTTTAACATACATATCATCTACATATTATTGTAAAAGGCGACCAACATGTACTAATATAGAAGTATCCAATGATCTTACCTGTAGTTTATAGCAATAGTATTCACGACAAGACACCTGCAATCGTTTTCGCTTTTTGTTTAAAACTGAAAATGTAGGAAACAAAATAAATCTTAATAATAAACAAACTAAATAAAGAAATTAAAATCAAGCAACAATTTACTTTTCAAACCTATCATTTCATTCTTCAATATTTCTTCAGGGGAATCAGCGTAATGGACATCAAGCATAACGTCAGCAGAACAAACATTATAATCTCTATCCTGTCTAGTAACCCTTTCAATACCTTGGTGCCAACCATTGTATCCATTAGGGAATAACAAAGGATACTGGAGAGGATCATAACATCCAAAATAATAGTTTACTATATGCTTGCCACCAGAAAGGTATAAATAGATATATCACGAATCCCAAAATTCGATGTTTCGTCATTCACCCAAATAGTAACATCCAAAATAATCGCAACTTGTGATGCTGTCGGAGCATTATAAACCCTTTGATCCATACCCAAAGTACATACAATTTTTATTTCGCAGTTTTCCAAATCAGCAACATCGGTTAAACCCTGAAAATTTTTTGCATACGAATCTATCTCTGAAATGTAAACTAATTTTTCAACAATTGATTAGGATAGCTTATCTGGTATTTTTAAGCGATTTTGTACCTCATTTTCAGTATCGTAAAAATAAAGTTGTAAATAAGAAAGTCTGGAATCCACTGGAAGGAGTTCATTTAGGTAATAATATATTTGTCCTTGAATTCTAAAAGTATATATTCCTTTATTTTTTTGGCACAAGTCTTTATCATACTTTACACCAAATGAAATAAAAGAAAAATAACAATTATAACTTCGAATATAAGTCCTAAATTCAATTTATTCGTCAGATTTGGATGTAAATAAGCTATACAATTCTGGAGGTACACCATTGATTTTTAGTTTAATATTCTCATCACAACAGCAAAAACCTTTACTTTCTTTATGAAACTTTTTTGCTCCACTGAAATCACAAATTGATGGCATGTGCAAGTACTAAAATTTGGTTGGAATGCTTTGTAAAATATTGGAAGTATGTTCTAATATTTGGAATCCTGGCAAGGCAGCAAAACCTAGTGAAAGAATTAAACAATCTATAAATTCCAGCACACAATACTAAACTAAACCCAAAATATAAGTCACTGAAAGTATAAGTCACATGTTTGTTGAATATCATCAATACTTCTAGTTGACACATGCCAGAACATCACAAAAAATAATTCAAAATAGATGCATACAGAAAAAAAAGAAAGTAAGTCGAAGTAATATAACTAATTAATCACCACAATTAAAAAAACTCTCAAGTTGCATCTCTTGGTAACACCGATTTTCCTGAAGCACTACATGTAGAAGTACCCTCTTCCACCGAATCCAGATAATGTGAAGTTCTAGGCACTCTTTTTTGAGTATACAATTGTTGTCGACGTACATAACGCAACTGTCGTGCTTGAGCATAAAATTTTTTACGCCGTGCATTGGAAGGTTGTTTTGATCAAGTATATCTCCCTCGGTGACGGCGACGCTTCTTTTCTAGCTCACAACTTCCAACACCACCCTCAGCAGTATCCATAACACAAAAAACTGAACACAATAAAAACAAAATAAAATGTAAGAAAACAAAAAAAACGATGTAGCATAACTAAAATTCGACTACAAAGATTAAGAATTCCACTCTGCTAAATTCATTAACAAAGAATACACCTAATGTCTAATGTCATCTCGCACGGAAAGTGTAAAATATTTATAAATCAAAATATTACCAACAGGAAGTCCATGGGAAAAAAGTAGTATATATACAATTTATATTAAATATCCTCTTGAATATCCTTGGATAGCCTATTTCATGTTTCCTTTCAACCTTGTCTAACCAACAATTCAAAATTATTAAGGCTTTAAAGATTGCGAAACTTTGTTTAAGAACGGACATTGAAAGCGCTTTGCGACCAAACAAGTACGAAGTTACAAATTTGTATTCCAAAATGGCTTCTTGAATATAGCAGTTTAGATTTTTTTGACAATTTAATTCGATAAATTATTCTTTTAAAATATCCATACAATTTTATATCTAAGTACTAAAAATGAAACAATATAATTTAGAATATAGCGTCCATATTTACTAATTAGCCATCTAAACTAAGCTCCAAAATAAATCACAACATTTTTTTAGAAGTGCAGAATAAAGCACAAGTAAACAAAAAGTCATCATTGTTTCACTTGCTTTCACCCAAATAAAGCATAATGCTCCAAAATCGAATATACCCAACAAATATATCACCTGCAAACCACCACAAGTCCAATATATCAAACACTATATACAAATTTAATATGATTTCATAATACAAACTCAACTAATTAGGAAGCAGCCAACTACGTAGAGAAATCATGTGTCTGTCCATTTATAAGTCATGTCATAAAATTTGGGATGGTCCAAATGCTAACAAACACGCACTTAATATATAAGCAAACAATAATTTGCACTGTCTCAAAAAATAGCTAGAGCCCAGAAATTGAACAGATAGCAAATCCATGGAAAGGACCAAAGGGGATAGTAGCCTCAACGAAATCGCTACACAACCGAAATTCTGAAATTAAAAGACCGAACATGTGTGAAAAGTTACGCTGATGCTTCTCTTTGCTAAGTTTGTGCAAGAGAAAGGGATAAAGATTGCGGATTCGGGTCAACACAAAAAGAAACGGGTTAAAAAAATGGAATAAAGGTATGAAGTTGTGAGATTCTAACCTAGTTTCTCCGAGCTCGTGAAAAGTTCTGATTCTGGTTTAGTTCGTTAAGTTCTTTCTGGTTTAATTCGTGAAGTTCGCAAGAGAAAGATATTAGAATTTAGATAGATACATATGTAGAAAATTATAAATAGATCAAAAGAACGAAAAAAATCGAATTATGAAAATAGCGATACGTGGTGCTAACATTTATGGCTCTTCCATATTGTAGTGATAACTATCCTGATTTTCACTTTTCGAGGAAGCCTTTTGGGCTAGGCCCGGTCCAATTTCCACCCTACAGTCCTACATTCCATATCTGCCAATCCAGTATAGGCACATCATCAATCGAGTCCCACATCTGACAAATTTTATCAACGTGTACAAATATCATTGGTCTTTCTCTGAGATCGAGATGCCTAATACACACACTACATCGATAAAACTCTAGAGAGAGAGACAACAGAACTTGCAAAAATGGCAGCTAGGAAGCGACGTTCAGCAATAAACACCACAACGGCAAAACCCGACCCAGATAAAACCAATCCCGAAACCGTACAATGGTACCCTCCAATCCGGCCCGCAAAAATATCCACAATCCTCAAATTCTTCTTCATATTCGCGATCCCATATTTTTATTTGATCTTCTCTCACTACAAAATAGATTATGAACTGAAAAAATCGGTTTTGATCAATGCTTTCGTCAGCTTTATAGGTTTTTTTATTACAGTTTCTATGATTCCTGTGGCATCGAAGTACGTGCTGAGGAGAAATTTGTTTGGGTTTGATATTAACAAGAAAGGTACCTCTGAGGGATCCATTAAAGTGTAAGTTTCTATTTCATTTTGGGTTTTGAGTTTCCAGACCTTTTGAATTATGAATTTTGCATTGGGATGCCAAGCTATTAGGTAAATTCACTTTAATATAAAGCTCTGAACTTGCACGCCATTTAAATGAATATTTAGATTATATTTAGAATTGAGGAACTCTTTATTAGAGTAACAATTGAGCTATGAAATATTTAAATTAGTTAGAGAATTTTTTTAAATAAGTTTAACCAAATTTTATGACAAATTTTCGCCAAGTACTCAAGTTTTTATTTTTTTTATTCTTTACACTGCTCCTTGAAGTTTAATATTTATATAAAATAGTCTCCCATCTATTAAAATTGTATCACGTTCTATTCCTATGGAATGGGATGAAAGTCTGATGGATATGTACTTTTCATTAAGAACTTATACACTGGTAGTATTGAGGTGAAGATGAGAAAAGCTTAAAAGAAAAAAAATTATGCCACATGAATTTGTGAGAAACTAGGGCGTGCAGACTATAATTAACCTTTTTTTCTTGATTTGTGGATTTGCATTTATAAGAATATTACCCGTAGCAGGATGCTTTTTCATTAACCTTGCTATTAATACATGTTATGCAGGCCTGAATCATTAGGCATTGTAGTGGGGATAGTTTTTCTAGTTGTGGCAATATTGTTTCAATATTTTAACTTCACAGCAGATTCAAATGTAAGTATATTAGCCTTGTTGCCATTCTTGTAATAGCTTAGTTATTAAGCATGATAAACCCTTACTATTGAAACTTATATAGCATTTTTGCATCAAGAATGTCCCCTGCCTCCTATTGTTTCCTTAATACTCAATGGAATGCATGAATTTTATCGTTTCAAATGTTTTTGATGATAGAATGGTTTAATAAATTTTCGTAAGTATCTGCCTATCAACTACAAACAATAAAATTGTTTCCCACAGAACAAATGGAAGCTTGCTCATTTGTTACAAAGACCAATTTAAAATGTGAGAGCGTTTCTTGGAATTTCTTGGGGGTATTAGTTGAATAGTTTTTGAAGTGTGAAGAAATTCTTATGGGGGAAAGTGTGTATATTCATGGAGAACATTACAGAAGCCAAAAAGTACTATGATGGTATTGTAAGGCAGTACCCATGATTTGCAGTATAATTGCATGATTTGGTAATTGAAGTTTGTAGTTTGTGGTGCTTATGGCAGTTGTTGCAATGAACCGGGAAACCATACCAAGTTTTGAGGATTTTCATTTTCCTTCGTTAAATATATTAATTTCTGGTACGGAGTGCCATTATCAATGGAAGCAGAATTTTGAGGGAATGCTCCAGAATCATATGGTAGGATTTGATAGAAAAGCAAATGTGATCGCTGGGGCAACACTTAGAAGGATATTATTTATTGGTAATTAGTAATTGTTTCATGATACAGTTGATGGAGTAACTGTTCTTCAATTGGCGAGTGATGATATTGTGGAATGACGTGTGCAAATTCACCACATAGAAAAAGAAAAGTATGAAACTGAGGAATGTACGTGTTAGTGCAGAATGGCAAAAGGGAACTTTATGAATTATATTAAGCACCATTGGGAGCTCAACATTTTCTAGATAGTTTCGGATAACATTTAAGGACATGTTTTCAGCTTTCACTTTCTATGGTGTTATTCTCCTCTCTTTGTTTGTTCTCTTTCCTTTCCCTTTTTTCTCTCTTTCAAAATCTGTTATCACATTTGATTTTCCATTTTTTTAATATTTTAATTTATGAGCTTCTTATAGTCAAAGGTCTAACTCTTTTAACTTTCTGTTGAGAAGTGGTTAATTGAATACAATGCGGCACTAGCATCAATCTGCTTCATGATTCTGCTTGGATTTGTCGATGATGTCCTTGATGTGCCTTGGAGAGTGTGAGTTTTACTAATATAGAAGTGCCCTTGTTTCTTCTGCTTTATTTTCAGTATTACTTGTATGACAGATTACTTCTATGTAACTTGAAGACAGGAAACTAGTGTTGCCATCCATTGCAGCTCTTCCATTGTTAATGGCCTATGCTGGGCATACAACTATCATTATTCCAAAGCCTCTTGTTCCATACGTTGGATTAGAGATTTTCGACTTAGGTATTTTATTGTTTTACAAAGAAATTATTCATTAAGAATAACCTCTCTCTATGTTCTCTTAATTTTTACCCAGATTTTTTTCTATGTTCCAGTTCCCTATGTAAAGTGTCTTCATATGAACAGGATGGATATATAAACTCTATATGGGACTCTTGGCTGTGTTTTGCACAAATTCAATCAATATTCACGCTGGCATCAACGGCCTTGAAGTTGGGCAGACAGTTGTTATTGCTTGTGCCGTAAGCAAAAAATCAGCTGAATATTTATATGAATCTGCTTTCTTCATGTACTAAATGCGACATAATTATGACTGCAGATCTTGATACATAATGTCATGCAAATTGGGGCGTCAAATGATCCAGAATACAAACAAGCACATGCATTTTCCATTTACCTTGTTCAACCCTTACTGGCCACTTCTTTAGCTTTACTTTCTTACAATTGGTAATCATATTGTGGTTGTCTTTTACCAGTGCAATAAGAACTCTCACACTGCATGCTAACAGTTATATCTCTATCCATGTTTGTTATAGGTATCCATCTTCTGTTTTTGTTGGCGACACATACACGTACTTTGCGGGAATGACTATGGCAGTAGTTGGTATTTTAGGCCATTATAGGTGAGTTTCTTCAGTTCCCAGTCCATTGTTACTTGTCATCACAAGACAATCTGAATTACATCTTAGTATTAAAATGTTTAACAAATGGGAAACATTTAATGACTGGTGTAATTTGATGATATAACATACGCTGCAAGAGAATGATTGAAACATTACTTTTATTAAATTTGTCTGAAAGCATGCTGGAATGATTTCATGCTTATTAGTTGTCTAAATCACATGCCAATTAGACTTTATCTGATTGTATTTTGAACTAACCTCGAAGCATTTCCTGCGTAGTTGGCCATCATAGCATATTGACCATGCAGATCTGAGAACTCATTTTTTTCCCGATTAGAGATTGAATAGACGAAGTATATGTCTATTTTGGTCATTCTTAGTTGTTTATCTAGAATATTCATATCTTAGATGATTAGATGCTATGTGGAAATTCCAAAAATGAGAAAAAGAGGTGCATGTAGATTGGTCTTTCATACTGAGCCCAGAAGCTTAGTTATCGTGCTATTTACTCAGCATTGTTATAATCTCTGATGGACTCGAATACGAACTCTTTGAATCAAACCCCTACTGGTGAGAAGGTCATTCTTAGCCCTGAATTTGTCTGAATTCTAGTGATGATTAGATGGTTCATTTAATCTTGCAAATTCTTATAATGCAAATTACCAATTTAATCCTGATTGGATGGTGACAAGATAAATAGTTTTCTTTATTTGCACTCTTTTAATGGTTATTCATTAAACTAAGCCCTGATCTAATTCATTAGTTCTAATATATATATTTTCAGTGAGACACTTATGATATTCTTTCTTCCGCAAATTTTGAACTTCTTGCTCTCTCTTCCTCAGGTATCTCTCCCTCTTGCGTGTTTGCTTTCACACACAAACACATACTCACATTCACAGTCACACAGGCTAAGACACATGAACAAACAACGAATGCGTAGAATTAATGCTTTTTTATTCTACATTTTTTCAGCTAGCTGGTATTGTACCTTGTCCACGGCATCGACTGCCTAGGTACATTGCTGTCAAGTGCTTTTCTGGCTATCTTATGTTTTGAAATAATATCCTTGTATAATAATAAGTCTATCCTGGAACTGTCAGGTTCAATCCTCAGACTGGCCTACTAACAGGGACAAATGATGGGACTCTTGTGAACTTATTTTTGAGACAGTTTGGTCAGAAGTCGGAGAAAACCCTTTGCATTCTATTGTTAATTTTCCAGGTAACTTTTAACTATTCTTAGCCCTGGTTGGTACAAATTCCTTACAATTTATGTTTAACTACACATTCTCCCAATAAAATAATTTTGCATATTTATCCATAACTTTTCCCTACTTTTTAACCACAAAATCTTTAAAATAAAAAAAAAAATCGTTATTTACAAAATCAATTCTAAAAAAATCTACATCATACAGGACCTTAATTATCTTCAAGCTGCTGATCTGTTATTTCACTTTTTCTTTTGGAGATCTCAACATTTTTATTGTCAAGTTCATTGTTTGGCTAAGCTTCAAAAAATAAAAAAAATGAAGTTACTTTGAAGTAACTTTTTACAACCAAACACTTTTTATCAAAACGGTTGCTTTTAACTCTTATCCTGCTATCAAAATAAGTAATTTACTTAATGATAAACAATTTTTGTGTATTATAAAACTTAATAACTTTTAAGCGAACTTTTTGACCTTAGCAGATCATACTCAATAGTGAATCTTATACATAGTTGAAGTATCTTTCTTTAGGCATATGCTTTGACCTGATTATTGATTATATATTTATATGCTCCTTCCAAATATAAGCTCCGATTCAAGACATTAACACAGGAATTATTATTGGGGCGTTACAGGCCATTTGTTGCGGCTTCTGTTTTTTTCTACGGTGGATCCTCACTGGTTGGTACAAATGAAGGGTCCAGTGTCATTCTCAAAGAAAAGATGCTGATGTGTCAGCATGTAAGGGTGCTCTCTCTACTATAGAAGGAGTAGCTTAACATTAAACGAGCAAAGAGTTCTCATTAAAGGAAACAAATAGAAGTAGCTTTGAGTTGAGTTGAGTAGCTTTGAGTTGATTTTGATCTTTGAATTTTGTAATCTCTTGAATGAATGTAGATTTTGTCAAAGATGTGTATAATCTCTTGAATTTTGTACCCTTTTTTTTTCCCGGTATCTATGTTGGTAAAAAGTGCATATGTTATGAATATAAACACGAATATGAATAATGCATTAAGGTGGCTAGATAATCCCAGTTTAATAGAAATGGGCAATTTAAATGTATACACTAGAATGTTAAATGGGAATTAAAAAAATACTAGGTTGTTTGTATACACTAGGGTAACTTGATTTAAAAAAAAAAAAAAAAAGAAGTTATCAATAACAACATGCAATAACTACAGTAGCAATCATTGTTCGACGCCCTGTACATTGCCGCTGATTAATGCAAGTAGATCATTATCAGGATTAAGTATCAAAATCAAAGGCCAAATAGAAATTTGAATAATTGTATTTCCAGTCTAGTACATGATCTGCTGAGAAAGTTGGGTATCCTATCCACCAAAGTAGACAAGATCACTAATAGTGGAAATAAATGTAAGTGGTAAGTTCAAAGAACGGATTCTAAGTAGAGATCAAATTTGATCTCCTGCACATAGCGAGTAGGATAAAAACTTTTTTCCGCTGACGGCGAAAAATCAACTCTAGTTGCTCAACGTCTGTTGCGTTGCATATGTATCATGCAGATTGGTGATGAATCAATATCACTCGTATGACCAAATCTTTATTTCAAATTCCGAAATAGAAAAAGGGTACATGGCCTAAAAAAAGTTCACTGGTTGTAACTTCAAATTTTAAGACTTCCTTTTTACTTCTACTATAGTCTTACTAAAAAGAGTGACCAGCTGGTGGAAATTTCCTATTCTGATTTAATGTTGGTATTCAGAAACAAAAACGAATACATGGAGAAAAGAAAATCACTTGAACAGCTATTGAATACTCACTTTCTATACACAGAAAATGTAAAAAGCACTAATAGATGAACAATAACTTATCAACTTGTAATACAACTTCCCCAAAATCAGAAAACTATATTCAAAATTTTAGAGATATTCATCAACAGAAACTCCAAATATACATAAATAAGACAATAGAAAGCAATTAATGGCTTATTCTGCTCTGCTTCTAGTTAACAGATATCTCCCTAATTCCACATTCTTCCAACAGCTATTTGCAGCCTGTTGAGTAACTTGTCCACATAAATTAATCGATTTCCACCCTTCTAAAGTCGGCACTTTTATCAGCATTCGAGATTTCTCCTATATGTTGCTCTCTGTTGCCCCTCATTGTTCCACGAGATGTAATTACCAGCATTAACCTGCGCAGCAGTGTTCACGTCACATATTCCTTGCACTCCATTACTGCTCCTTTCATTAACATTTGCAGGTTCGACTCCATAATTGTAAGGATAATGAGAGTAATTCCATCCCCACGTATTATTCCAACCACCTATCCACGGTGCATACTCACTTCCATCATTGAAGTTCCTTGTATTATTACCAAATCCTGTCCATCCAATGGGAGCTCCATTAGGAAATGCATTTCCCCAATTATGCTGCCATGGATCCACATGATTCGCCTCTTCATAGTCACCCCAGTCAGTGGGTGAAGATGCTTGGTTAACAAAGAACGAATCCCCAAATATAACGGCTGGCTCATGGTATTCATACAGATCAGGAAACACGGGATCAACGTCCAGGTCAGATGGAAGCTCGATATCATTTTCCAAATCCCAATCTATTTCGACAATGTAAAGATCAGGATCAGGTAATGGTATTTCACAGGGAACGCCATGTTTTTCTGACCAGAATCGTGTCTTGGCATTTTCAAATGCCTCTTTACCTTCAGAGTCATCCCAGTTGATCACATTATCGTATAGGTGAACAAACTTCTTCTTGCGCAAAAACATTTCCCAGTTGAGCGAACCGACCACTTTGCAGAATTCTTTCTCCCACAAAGGTACTGAAGGCTGCCAGCCAACTGCATAAATAAGTTTTAAAGATCAGTTTCCACAAAAGCCATAGAAAATATAGGAAATTGAAAATACAGAAAGAGAGAATTATAGTCAACAGCACAATTCAGGAGGCAGAACGATGAAAAATATGAAAATGATTATGCCATCACCGAACATCGTAACACAACTATAAATCACAAACTCGGAAACAGAATGACGACAAATTACACGATTATACAAATACAATACAAAAATAAATTGTGACCAACTCGGAGAATATAAGATGACAAAGGAATACATAAAGACTACAAGATGAAGGGGGGAAAACCAGCACATGCTGAAGTTTTTTTTTTTTTCCCTTTCTTTTTTAAATTAAGAGAGTATACAATAAGCTAACAAAACAAGTAATTAGGCGGACAAACAAATAATTTAAATTGTTTATTAGTAACTGTGCTATAAACAGAATTATAAAATGAAATAAATTTAAATATTTTCTCACCCAAATTATTATTTTGACTATTAGCAATCACTATAAACTGTGGAATCTAGTGCAGACGAGCATATGTGCTTCATTAATATAGCATTAACGGCCAAATTGCTATTGCCAGCTCTAATCAAGGTATAGTTTGATATGGCCAAGGAAGAACCTGACTTTGGGTTTGACCCACCGAGTGAACTCAGTTCTGGGATTGGCTCGGCCGACGTCATCAATTTCACGTTTGTCAATATGAACTCATTTCGTACGAGTTGATTGAAGAGTCCCAACTCAGTAACCGAGTTCTTCTTCTTGTGCTGCATTGCTGCTCTAGCAATTTCAGTTAACATGGCATTTGATAATCTTCTAACCCCTCTTGCACCCCCCATTATAATTGCCGGATTGACTGATTTCTGCCGAGTTGACTGGGTTTTATCCGATTTCTTCTTCCCGTGTTTGGTGGACAGGGCATGGATGTTTGAAGTTAAATGAACCGACTCGGGACTCTGATTCCTGACTCGGCCGAGTGGGTCACCGACTATTAACATTTCCTTTACATCCACAAACAAAATATGCTTGAAATTTCTTCTAACTCGACCCAACAACATAGGATAGCAAGCCCATCGCCTCAAATTCATTGGAATATGTTCTAATAACCCACCC